ACAGGAAATGTTCCTCCAAAGGGCAGGACCAGTGGCGTAGCCACCTTTTAAGAGGAGGGGGAGCAAACCTAAAAAAAGGCGCCCCCCCTTGGCTCCTCCTCTGGCCACGCCCCCCGGTTCCTCCTCCGGTCGCTCCATGCCCCCCCCCTTGGCTGGCTCCTCCGGCCGCACCGCCCTTCCCCCCCTCCCATGGCTCCTCCGGCTGTGCCCCCCCCCTTGCTCCTCCGGCCACGGCTGCCGGCCCACCGCCAGCCTGTGCCCGCCCCCTTCTCCGGCTGTGGCTGCCGGCCCACCACCAGCCTGCGCCCCCCTCCCTCACTCCTCCGGCCGCGGCTGCCGGGCCACAGCCAGCCCCCCCTTCTCTGGCCGCGCCCACCCTCACTCCTCCAGCCCACTTTTGCAAAGTGTGCTGAGGGGAAGCGGCTGCTTCCTCTGCACCCCGCTAGCTACGCTACTGGTCAGGACCTCACACTGGGAGTGTATGTATCTGAAAGGGCAAACTGGAACTTCTTCTTTGGTCTCTTATTTCCTCCATTCAACTTTCAGATTCTTTCAGATGGGTAATGTTGTAACATCAGAAGTGTTCTGCTGCATCTTCCGACACTCGGATTCCCAATCTAATGAGGAAAATTGCATTTGCTACTTCATTCCATCAAGAGTGTTTCCTCCTATTGAGCCAGTGCCACTGATTTCAGGATATAAATAACAATGGCATTGCTGCACTGACTCAGAGTCCAGTGGTTCATGAAAGGAATCACTCAATCTGCTCATGTGAAGAAAAAAAAAAAAGAACCTACCATCCAATTGTTACAGTTGGCTGGAAATGACAAACAACATAACCACTCTTTTGATCTAACATACCAAAAATCATGTGCTGTGGCAGCAGCAGCAAACTTAAAAAGGCCATTGTGTTCCCCAGAGCTTTGCACATTCCAATGATGCTGGTGCCCTGACAGGGAAGTAACCAAATACAGCCACGTTTGCACTTGCTTTATCGGCAGAAATACCAGAGGAACATTAAATTGAAATCAATGCTGCAACTGAGAAAAACAGAAGAAGTGGGAGGGGAAAATATTATTTCAGGCTCCTCAGAGCATGTTTTTAAAAACATGAAGAGAAAACAATGTATTTTAAAAAAATAATTAATGGAGTTGATTGCATCCCTTTGACTGGTGAAGAAAACTTGCTTCTTACCTCAGGGGCTAACTTACCTCACAGTTCCTGACCCTGGAGGTTTGGGAAAAGTTCTAATCAATGCCCAACTACACTACATTGTGAGAACTGGACTTTTCCTTTCTTTAAATGGACTTTACCTGGGATGAACTTTATTTTTAAAAGGACTCTAGTATTCAGCAGTAATAGCCCATATTACAGTGGCACCACTGCTATAAACTGAAGATTTAGGGTCATTACTGTAGAATGCTGGGTTCTTTATGTTGTTTATTTTAAATACATAATCTAGAAACTCCTCTGAGGTGGACTTAACTGAGACAAGGAGTGCATCTTGAAGGGAAACCACCAAGAAGTGTTTTATTTGAGCATAAATCTTAAAATGCCTCTTCATAAAGCAGGACTGGATACTTCAGCCACCTTGGAAGTCAAAACAACAGCTTGGTTTTATGCACCTGTCTCTCCTTGTGGGAAGCCCTTACAGCAGAATATAGTTTCTTCTTGACCTCTTAATAGTGCAGCCCTGTCAGTTAAGGAGGCAGGTCCCTGTTCTGGAAGAAGAGTTGTTATTTAAAAGGCTTCCTACTGTAGTTTGCAGTTAATCTGAAATTTACTGGTTAGAGCCTACCAAACAAAGAGACTGAAAAGGTAAAGGCAGCATTGGTTGTATGCCCCAAACCATCTCAGAAGTGCTTTCCCCTGGTGCCATTTCTGAATTCCTGGCTGCCAACGTTCAGGTAACAGGGGAGGGTTAGCTGTGTGGAAGGAGGATGGAAAGGGTGCCCCAAAACTTCATTGATCTGTAGAGTCTATCAGAAATGCAGCTCCTTCAATCACCATCTTTATGTTTAGTGTGAAAGGAGAGCCCCAAGGATACACATACGTTTCATAAAGCAGCTGTTCCCTTCAGACAGGAAACCAAAGTGTGAATACACCGAGAGCTCTGCCTTACACCTCACCTATGTTTCCTGAGTGAAGAGTGGCTGCTGCATTCATAGTGGTCAGGATCACTTCACACCCCGCATAGGCGTATAGTCAGTGTACACAATTTGACATAACAAGCAGTCTCCTCGAAGGAGATGGTTAACTGTAAGCACAGATTCCATTTCCTCTGCAACGACAATTCATGTGTGGTGCCGAGAAGCACACAGCTGAAGTGGTTGCATTTCATTTCACACCAGCAAGTAGTGCCGGGTGTCTCCAACTCAGGGTTAAGGTCAGTCAGTGACTTACAGTTTGTCTCATAGCTTCCTCTACTTTTCAGGACCACTGGCTATAGAATGGATAGTTTCAAACACCATCAGTTCTCAGCCCCTTTGGTGGTGATAGGTCCACTTCTGCCAATGGAGCTTGCATTGAGAAAACCAAATCAATGTAATGGAATTATAGATTTTGATGGCCAAAATAATACCTCATTATGATCCTTGGTGTGAGGTAAATGGATGTAAGGATACAAGTAGCTCCCAGATGCGAGGGATTGTTCCAGGAGGGATGGGGCGGAAATGAAATGATTTAATAACTATTATCGCTTTTAAGAACTTTTTCCTCCTTTGCCCCCTTCTGCTTGTGGTCTTCCTCTCAGAGCTCTGCGCACCCCATCATTTATCCACCTTCCACTCCCAGCTCTGAGGCCCTGCTTCCTGGCTACCACCCTTCCAGGTGGGGAGCAATGGACAGTGTCTATCCTTGGATCTCCTCAGTGCAGATCCTTAACTGACTAGCAGAGACACTGGTGAGTAATTCTTCCTCCTTCCAGAGGCTAAGCACGTTTCCTGCCTTGCTTCCAGCTCTACATGGCCAGCTCTGGTGTATGCCAATGAGGAGCAACTACCCCTCTGTCACAACTGGCCTGAACCTATAAGCCTCGATTCCCCCCGTTCCCATCCTACCTCTGCTCAGTAGCATGCCTCTGCCCTGCCTTCAACTCTGTCAGGTGACACTCTTACTCCCATGGCTCACTCACAACTGCCTGTTTCCCCAGAGATACACTATCAAAAGTTCTTAAACTGTTGGCACCATAGTAGTGACTCACTCTCTGATGCTGCTGCATGTTTCTCACAATTGGGAGGGGTCAAGACCTATTGCAGTGCAGTTTCTTAAGCTTTAAGTCAGCTGTAGTGGAGGTTGCAGTGAAGGCATTTGCCCACGCTGGTGTGATTCAGATACATGAAGATCTTTACTTGCTGGTTCTGATCACACTTTCATGGGCCAGCTATGCCTACCCACTTTCAGATGTCACCGACCTCCATTATTCTGGTGCAATTGGTGGTACATATCAAGGAGAAGGTGACGTGTAGAAAACAAAGCCAGGGGGATGAGTGAGTGGGGTGGGAAGTAACATGCTGTCTTCCCTTGCTGGACCTTTTCCTAGTACCAAACTGACTATGCACGAGACTGCAAAACTGCCTATGGACTAGACAGTTCTGCTTCATTCCGCAGTGGAGATGACTACAGGAGACATAGGCACGTTCTACCTCCACCCCACAATCCTCCAAAATTAATGACTTTTAATGACGTGACAGTGAGGCTCAGAAATGAGCGAAGAATGCTGTGGAGTGCCTGCGTGCACTGTGGCTAGTTCACGCCAGTGCCATTTCCCCTCTTTCCCCCTCCCCCTTCGGATGCACTGCATTGATTGCCAAATTTAGAAAGCGAGACAGCGATTAACAACAGGTTAGGAAGTGAGGTGGGCTAAGGCTAAGAATGGGACATTATCACCATCAGTGTTTCTCAGGCCCCCCTCACCACAGCATCTAGGTGCCATTGTCTAAATGTAACAACGTCAAGTTCTTCTAGGAAAAGAACCAACCTCTCCCCCCTCGCCCTTGGATAATAGCCGCTTACTTATGCGTAGTTGATTCTAGCTGGAGCCTTCTAGGATCAGGAGAGAACATGGAACTGCACAGATGGAACAATTAACCACAATAATGGGGGAGAAGGTGGGGGGGCAGTTCAGAAGCATCCAAGTTAAGAGCACCAGTCCTATTGAAGTTCAATGGGCCTAACTCACTTAGCTGCCTTGGAAAATCCCACCCACTAATATTATGTACAACACTACTAGAGGATAATTCCCCTCTCATGATATTGTATGTCCAATCCAAAATCTTATTACTCTAGGCACAATTAACCACACCAATGGCACATGCCACAGTCTTGAGAGCCTAACATGCTGGGAGGAGCTTGAGCCTGATAACTCATACACTTAGAATGTCCAAATTAGAGGATTACGGGTAACAGATTTTTAATTGCCTTTATTTTTTTAAGACACTTTCAGTCAATAGCGAATGAACGAACCAACGTTGTCAGCATCGGGCTAGATTAGCATGGTAGCTAAAGCCCCAAAGGATTTGGTTCTGGCAGAGGAACTCTGGCAGAGTTGTGCTTTAAAAATGGGACCCTTCCACACAGTCTTCAAACACTGGCGCGTCATGGGAATGTTGTATAAAACCCCTGCTCAGCTTGATGGGTCTTTTAATCTTTGCATTTAGCTTTGCACTTTAATAACTTAGTGTAAATGACCAAAATATTTTTTTAAGTAAACAGGTGTATATAAATACTCTTTTCTGGCATAGTCTTAAGGGCCCTACTCA